AAGTATATTCTATTTTGTCTCTCATTCGAGGGAGGGATGGACAAAGATATGAAAGAAACAATAACGGTATCATCATCAGCATCTTAAAAAAGCAATAAACCCAGCGAGATAAGCTCTTCTTGACTTTTCCAAGAAACCAATGTCATCTTTGCTTGGCATTGTACTGTGAACCAACCAATTTCAGGCCAATCACCTTGGCTGTCCCATAATGTGGTAGGCAGATATATTTGGAAAGAGTGATATAACAGCAAAGAGAATGTATAAATATGCAAGTTCATCCAGAATATATACACAATAAATTAAAGATAGTGCAGTGGGTCACTAGCAGCTGATATGAGGGAGGAATCAGGAAAGACCTTATACAGGATATAGCATTAGAAATTCTAAAAGAAGAGGTAAGGAGAGAATGCATTCCAGGCATGAGGAATGGCTAGTGCAAAAGCAGAGATAAAAGTGCAGTTGTTGTATGAAAGAGAGAAAACAAAGCCATTTGATTTGTGCAATAGAGTTTGTGAAGGGGAAAAATTAATTTTTAAGAAAATGGAGAAGTGGGTTGGAACCAGATTGTAAAGGATTTATAATGCTAAATAGAGTAATGCCAAACATTCCGTGGATAGAGAATAATTATTACAAATTCACAGAGCTTGGATATGTAGTAGTTTCTGTTGGCTAAAAGGCTCTTTTGGCTGGAAAATAGAGGACCTGAAGAGTGGCAATGGAAAAGCAGACTGAAAAGTTAGATGGAGCTCAGATTGAAGAAAAATGGGGAAATTGAGGCCCAGAGATGTTCATAAATGGCTGAACCAAGGTTAATCAGATTGTATCCTATAGCATACTCTCTAGGCTGTCTTCTAAACTTCTAACTTACTTCCAGAAAAGTCTTAGTCCTGGAAGCTCACCCGCCCTAAAATTCACACATTGGAGATAAACACTGCTCTTATGACCTCTCCCTTTTTTTAAATGGCTCTTTGCACAACCTTCATTTAAGAAAGACCCCCAGATCATCCATGTCTCATTCCTTTCCAGGCTGTACTCCATACTTGTCTTTCCTCTCTGCTTCCCCCCCTTAAGCTTTGTTTTATGAGTTATTAGAATGTTGCATTAGAACATAAGCTCCTTGGGGGCAGGGGCTGTCTTTCCTTTTGCCTGTATTTGTATACCCAGTGCTTAGTACAGGGACTGATACAGAGTAAGAACTTAATAAATGCTGTTCACTGACAGATTGTTGACATCCCCACAGCACCTAGGGCAGGTTTGGGTCTTTCATGTAAATGAGAGAATGCATAGATAGATGGATGAATGGAAAGAATTTATAAAGAACAATGAACCAATCTCTATGCTAGGCTGTAAAGGATACAAATGCTAAGGCCAGATACTCCTTGCCTCAAGTAGTTTATATTCAAATAGAAAGCATTTATTGGATGGAGCTGGAGTTGGTGGCTGGGAAGAACTAGCTGTTTCAGAACGGGAAGTCATAGAGATGCTGAGTGGATTTATTAACATTCCTTTTCTTCATGTTTACTATAAGTGCTCAATAAACATCTGCTGATTATTTGAATGACATTTGTACATATTTCTCCTAAAACTGAATCACATTACTTAATATCTCAGGGTCTATAACTATGACACTTATTAAAGTCCTAGTATCTACATGTCCATTGATTGGTGTTCTGATGTCCAGAATATTGTTACCATTTGTTCCCTAGGGAAAGTGAGACTGTTGACATCTGAGAAATAAAAACACCATGCAAAATAGCACATTGTTGGGAGGATCTGAATTTAAAGGAAGGTTTCTAAAATCACTTTGAAATTATGAGTAAACTCTGAATGTTAGACCTGGAAGGGGCTCAGAGATCATTTAGTCTCACTGACTCCTTTGATAGATGAGGCAGTTATGGGACAATCAGTTCAAACTAATTCATTTGTTTCACTGTGAAATTAAAATGAAGAATGGTCCGTCATTCTAACCTGGAGCCTGGGAGTTTCCTGGAAAGTTCTCTGAAGAGGAGGGAGACCCCTCACTCCCAAAGAGCTGGGGCTGGATATCATGATACATGTAAGCCACGTTGGGAATAACTGTGAAGCCAAATGGTTCTGGGGAAGAGCAGATGGATCCCAGCAAATTCGGAGATGTGAGCTGCAGGAGGAAACAGATGAACACTGTAAGACAGAGACTAGGAAGATGCGAAGGTTGGGGTTAGGCGGGGGCCCTTTGAATTATTCTGTGACTAATTTCTAACTTTCAGGGCTGCCTTTGTAGATAGCGAACAGCTTACATAATATTTTAAAACTTCTTGAGGGGTTTAAAAGCAAAAAAATAAAACCAACCAGGCACATTTTATGTTAATTCTGTTTATAGGAATAAACAGCATTCAGATTTGGAGACAACCAGACAAATATTCAATTGGAGAAAATGTCAGTCTTGAAAATCAGAAGACCTGGAATTAAGGCCTAGCTTTGTCTTCCTTTAATCTTCCTTGGCTTCCATCTCCTCATCTAAACCTTGGAGATAATTAGATTTGCATAAGTCACTTTGGGTCTCTATTTCCTCATCTTGAAAATGAGATTGGATTGTGTGACCTCAAAGGTCCTGTCCAGCTCTAATTGTGTTCTCTGATCAAATGAGGAAAATATTTGGTAACCCTTAATGTGTGATAGAAATGTGAAGAATCATTATTATTGTTATTTATAACTTACAACTAATGTTATACATATGATGTTTACAATAAGTTAATACAAAACATGTAATAAAATTACTATTATGATAGTTATACTTTCTTCGGATTTCAGTAATTGTGAGTGAGCCCTCAAATAATTTGCCAAGTCAATTGAAAAGCTTTCTATATCCTTTAGTTTTTTATTGATATTTTATTTTTTTAAACATCTGTATTTCTTAATGTCCTACCCCCTCTTGTAAATCTTACCTGGTAAGAAAGAAAAATAGTTGGTCACAACCAAATGTTCTAATTCAAACATCCCTGTCTCATCTGAACCTTGAACTCTGCCCCTGGAATCCTTGGTTTTTATAGGTGAGCTTTTACTTTACTTGCCTGGAACCAGTCCTCTGTATCAATTCCTAATAATTTTCAAACTATAGTTGCTTATAGTGCCCAGGGATGTGCTGGATGGAGCTGTCATTGACTCATAAGAGCTGATTGTTAAATATTCAAAGTGAACATTTACACTTTGGAAATGGAATAGGCAAACACTACACAAGCAGATGTATATTTAGTGTTTTATTGATTGTCTCAACTTAAGAAAGTGATGGAAAAATGTTAACAATGTAGATTAAACTGAAAAGTGTGTCATGTATACATTTTCCACCCAAACAGCTGGTTGCTAAGCATTTGATGGCACATCTTGGCCTCATATACTCCAAGATCCTTTTTGGACTCAGGTTGTTTTATCCTGATAAAATGGAAATTCCTTGACAACAGGGACCATCTTGATTGTTTGTATTTATAATTCCAATACTTAGCACAGTGTCTGACACAGAGTAAGTACTTAATAAATCCTTTTGTCACTCATTCAATCACTTAGGCACTATATACAGCATTATGCCACCATAGCACCCCACCTCTAAAGGGAAATGAGGAAAGTACCCAGACTTTATCTTTGATCATATCATTTATATATACTATGAGAGAGTATGAGGGCAGCTACCATCCCTAGATCTATATCCTAAGATATATTCTGTAACCAACTATTGTGACCTTTAATAAATCTCTTCATCTTACTAGGCCTCAGTTTTTTTTTATCTGTTAAATGAGACTAATAATTATTGCTCCAATTCCATCATTAAGTTTTAAGAATCAAGTCAAAGAATGAAAATAAAGCAATTTTGAAGTTAAAAATATTTTATGGGTATAAAATGTCAAGGGATCCTTTTTATATAGCATCATTCCATGGATCAGGGAGGTCCACTTTGAGCATGTTAATGTATGTTTCCACTCCGACATAGCTTAAATATTCTACATTTTGTGGCACCAGATGCTCATATAAGGCCCTTTTGTATCTAGGATTCTACTATATTAATGGCTAGTGTTAATATGGAATGTTTCAAACCACATCACAAATATCACCTCATTTGATTTTCATAACAACTTGGAAGGGGGGGGAGGTGCCATTATTATCCCTGTTTTGTTGGTCAGGAAACTGACGTTCAGTGTCTGGCCTAGAGTCACAGAGCTAGTAAGTGTTTGATTCCTGATTTAAACTCGCGTCTTTCTGGCTCCAGGCCCAGTGTTCTGTTCACTCTGTCTTTGTAGGGCTTGCCATTAAATATGAGGATGACCTGGTAAAGAGAAAATTGTAGAATGGAAGGAGAGGAGGAGAGGTATTTTAACTATATTTCAGAATTTGGAGGGCTGTCATGTGGATGACAAATTTGACATATGTGTCTCAATTCCACAGGGCAGAAGAAAGGAAAATAGGTGGCCATTCCAAAGAGGCATATTAAACTTTGAGATAAAGAAATGTTCCTTCACAATGAGAGCTATCCACAAGTGGACTGGGCTGTGTCTATCTCAGGAATGCATGGGTTTTCCCTCACTGGAATTTTCTAAGTCCACCTTTACCAGGAGGCCTTCTCAGCTTGCCTTCCATGGACTCTGCATCTATCTTACATGTCTCTTTAATCCATATGTTGTGTCCCACATTAACATGTAAGCTCTTTCAGGGCAGGGACTGTTGTTGTTTTTGTTATTGGTGGTGGTGGTGGTTTGTTTGTTTCATTCTTCCTTTTTATTCCTAGTGCTAAGCACAGTACTTGGCACATAGTAATCTCTTAAGACATGATTGTTGACTGCCTGACTGATTAAAGCAAAGTCTCTGTGAACAACTGTCAGATACACTTTAGAGAGGATTCTTTTTCCAGGTCTCAGTTGGACTAGATGGCCTCGGAGGTCCTTTCCTGCCCTTCAGAAGATGTTCAGTACTAAATAGCCTCAATTGCCTCTTTATCTTCAACATGATTTTCTTTTCATTTCTCTGAAATCCAGGTTGCCAACTTGGCCTGTTCCATTTCCAATAATGAGGAAGGGGTGAAGTTAGTCCGGATGGCAGCAACCCAGATTGATAGTCTATGTCCCCAGGTGAGTCTCATCCCCCTTGGCTCAGAATCCTTTGGTACTGTACTATCCCTTCCACAGTCTGGCCCCATTATGTCTTCTCTAACCCCATCTCCTACTACTAACCAATTAAAAAGGAAAAAAAAAACCCTTCACTTTTCCCTCTTCAGATCACGTTTTCACTGATTCTTCCAAACCTCCCCTAACCCACTGTTGCCTTGCTCAGTCTCTCCTTCATGCCTTTACCCATGCTGTTCACTGACCTTTCCCTTCCTCCCTTATCTATGAAAATCTTGGCTCTTTTTAAAGGTCCGGTGTGAACAATTTGCTAGCCAGCCCAAACCGTTGAGAGCTCTCTAAAAGTAATGTTCTCCACACTCCAGTATCTATTACTGCCTATATCAGTCACTGACACTTACTCATTCATGAACTGGGATTATGAAATCATAGCTCTGGAACCAAAGGATACCTCAGAGACCATGTTGTCCAATTCCCTCATTTTACACATGAAGAAAATGAGTCCCAGGAGGTCAAGTGACTTTTCCATGGCCATGCCAGGGCTAAGGATCATAAAATCCTAAATCTAGAGCCACAAGAGCCCCCAGAGTCCATTGAGTAAAATCTCTTCATTTCATAGGTGAGGAATCTGAGGCTCTGGGTGGTTCTCTGACTTACTTAGTGTTATATAGCCAGGAAATTCACAAGATGGGCTTTGAAACCCAGTCTTCTGTCTACAAAGCCAATCTTCTTAATGGTCCATTGGTGTTAAGCTTTTCTCACCAAGTAGGATTATCAGCTCCTGAAGTCAGAGGAAATAGCTTTGATTTCCACGGATTTTCCACGTATGTGCCTATAACAATACAACATTCATTGTAGATACTCAACAGAGAATTTTTGAATTCCTGGATCATCTCAATAAGAACCTTAAATTAGAAATAAAATAATAAAATTTTGACACTAAGTTCATTGATAACTCATGTTCTTTATGTTGCCAGTTGCCTATTTTCAGCAATGAGGTTAAATGGCATGATCATACTCTTGTACACTTTAGGCAAGATTTTAAAGATAAGCCTTGCTCTCCTACCATGTGTTTTTGATCACTAGTAGTCTTTGAGTTTTCACTCTAATGTATGTGAGTCATTGATGAGGATATCAAAATAAATATCTATGTGCCATTAAGTGTGGGTTTTTTTCCCATTGTGATGTTAACAGAATACTATAAAATCAATCCAATTTTGTAGAAATGCCATACCTAATCATAATATTGTGCTCAAGACTCCTACCCACTTTGCGTACTTCAAGTTGTGGTTCCAGGTGGCAGTGAAGGGAATCATTACTTTAATATGGACTCTCCTCTGGAGAATCAGTTTAGTATACTGAGTAGGGAGCTGATCTTGAAGACAAGAATGTCTAGGTTCAAGTCTCATATCCGATATACTGATTGTATGACCCTGAGCAAGTCACTGCTCAACTCTTTGTGACTATAAAGTTGCAGAGAAGGTTACAACCTGCATTAGAAGAGGATGTTTCCTCATCTGAGTGTTCTCTATATCAGTGACATTATGGGTCCTCTTGCCATTCTTTCATCAGTTGTTTATTCTATTGAGAATCATTCCTGGTCATCTGTAACATAATTTTCTGAAAAAAATAGGTCATCAATGCTGCCCTTACACTAGCCGCCAGACCTCAGAGCAAAGTCGCTCAAGATAATATGGATGTCTTCAAAGATCAGTGGGAGAAGCAAGTTCGTGTCCTGACAGAGGCTGTGGATGATATCACATCAGTGGATGACTTCCTGTCTGTCTCAGGTAATTGCAACAAATGAGTCATTTTGGGAAGGTGATAGATACCTCAGCATTATGAAGAGGATCTGGACTGATAATGAGAAAGGTTTTCTATATGTGATTGATTGAACTCCAAGAAGTCCCCTGGACCCACCAAACATTGTATCGTTTTGAGAGGTGGGATTATAATGCTCTCCCAGAACTCCAGGAAAGATTTAGGCAAAACACAAGCTAGAAATTCCTGTTGGATATTGTGGGACACTTGGGCAGATTCTCAAGGGAAATTTAGCAATCTCATGACAGGGAGTATGTTGTAGTAGATAGGGCTGGGAATAAGGATGATCTGAGTTCAAATTCTGCCTCAGATGCTATCTGGATGACTATAGACAAGTCAATTAACCTCTCTCAAATTCAATTCTTTTCATCTTCAGTATAGCGATACCACTCAATTCCCAGGGTTTTTGTGAGGACGAATGAGTTGACATATGGAACGTTTTTTGCAAACCTTAAAATGCCATGTGAATATTAGCTGTTTTTCTTGCCATTCTATCTACTACTATTACTACTACTACTACCATTCTTATTACTGTTGTTGCTGCTGCTGGCCTTCTCCCTTCTCCTCCTCCATCCTCTCCTTCTCTTCCTCCTTTTCCTGCTCTTCCTCCTCCTTCTGTCACTAAACAACAACAGCAACTACTACTACTTCTACTACCAGCACCACCACCAACACCACCACCACCATGACTACTACTACTACTACTACCACCACAACTACTTCTACTAAAATTCATTATAGATTTTAATGGAGTACTGGCCTTGTGTATTTCTTAATGCATCCCATCATTTTTCTGTTATGTTTTCCCATTTGATTTTAAGCTCCTTGAGGTCAGAGGCCATATTCCTTTACTTTTATTTCTATCTTCAGAGTTTAGTACAATGCCTGAAATATAGTAAATGCTTAACAAATGCCCTCCTTTGTTTGTCTGTCTATTTACCATCTATATCTCTTCTCTTTCTCTCTCTCTCTCTGTCTCTCTCTGAATGTGGCTATCTATCCTAAAGGAGAGAATGGAATTCATTTTAAAGACTATTCCCAAGACTGTTGACATCATGAGATGATATAATATGGTAGAAAGGGTACAGCCAGGATGGTAGAAGATCTGGATTCATGGCTAGTGCTACCAATTAATATCTGTGTGATGTAGGGCAAACCATTCAACCTGTCTTGTGTTCCATTTCTTCTTCTGTATAATGAGAAGATTGGGCAAGGTAATCTTTAAGGACCCTTCTGTATGTAATATTCTATAATCCTGTGAACTACTGAATTCTATGCAAAAGGTTATCATCTGGAGAATGAGCTCTATCTAGAAATGAGCAGATGAACCTCTTTGCTGAGATGGGATAAAGATCAGTTAAATTCAAAGGACAAATGACACTGAGATGATACTATTTGTAATGTGAATCTTTCACAAACTCTATATTCTATACTAGGAGACACTTACAAGACATTCTAGATAAGAGAACTTGACCACTGAAGAATATCAGAGAATGTCCAAAGGCTTTCCATTCACATTTGGAGAACTTAGTCTATACCTGCTTAAACAAAGTCATTTAATGGTAGTTTTATTTCAGTTTGTTTGGGTAAACCCAGTGCCTTACCTGTAGTAGGTGATTAACAAAAATTTTCTGAATTATAGACTAATGATTTTGAATAGCCCTGAGTTCTCTGTTTGAGGCAGGTAGATGTCTAAATGAATACAGGGCAGAATTCAGAGTCATGATAACCTTAGTTTGAATCTCATCTCAGATACTTAACTAGTTATATTATCCTGGAAAATCCTGAGCAATCTTCATTTAACATCTTTGAGCCTCAGTTTCCTAATCTGTAAAATAGCAGGCTATACTCTATAGCCTCTAAGCTCTCTAACAATTTCAAAGCTATGATTCTCTGAACTGTGTGACTCTCTGATCCTTAGTTTTCTCATTAATATTTGTCGTCTTTCAGACAGTAAAACAGAGGAAAGCTGAATTTCCCTGAGTGCTTTATGGGGCTGACATAGCTTGGGGCTAAAGCTATGAGAAATGGATGCGTTGTCCACACACAGTTTGAGTGCAGGTGACTTTTCCAACTATGGGATCAGAGGTTTAGAGCTGGAGTGAACTTTAGAAGCTGATTATTCCAATTCTCAGTTTGTACCTATGAAAGAATAGGTATCCAGGTAGGTAGGTAGTACAGAGGATAAGACACTAGGTCTGGACAATTGGAGACCCGAATTTAAATCCCACCCCAGGAACTTATTATCTCTATATCCCTAAGCAAGTCACTTAACCTTTCTTTGCCTTAGTTCCCTCAAATTTTACAGTTGAGGGAAGTGAGGCAAAGAAAGGTTAAGTGACTTGCTAGAGTAATCGAACCTATCTCCCTGGGTTGTTTTAAGGATCAAATGAGATGACATGTAAAGAAGTTTGCAAGCCTTAAGATACTAAAATGCACTTGTTAGTGATTGTTATGGATATCGTAGTTGTGTTGTTTTTGTTGTGTGGAACTGAGGCACAGAAAGTGTAAGTTGATTCCTCATGTTGACACATTTATGATTAGGGGGCAGAGACTAATTCTAAAACCATATCCTCTGACCTCCAATCCAGTAGCCTTTTCTAATTTATGCCTACTATTATGAATTCTTCTTAGGGGTCCCTGGGGGTAGTTCTTCTTTATAACCTGACTCTGGATCAAGCTCTTGCTTAGGCTTTGTTTCCCCCAGCCCACTTTGGCAGTGTTAGCCCCTTAGCCATCTATCATTGAGGAGGGCCTATCTGCTCACCTCATTTCCAAATGGGGTCATCTATCAGCATATGAGCTAGTTTCCACACAGGATTGTAGCATGGAAGAAATTGGTCAGGCTGAGGTATTTGTTTGCCTCATAAGCCCATGGCCAGGACTTGGGGTGGGGACCTGGAAGTGCCAGCCTTATCATTTCTGTAAAATTAAAATTAGCTTTAATAAATGAGACTCACATTTATTGGCCTGAATCTGCTACAATTGTACAGACACCTCCTGTGTTGGAGAAACACTGGCACATCCACAGACACCCACCCATTCACTCCCCATTGAGCCTGGCCCCAGCCCTCTCCTGGCTCAGCCCCACCACTGGCATACAGCAAGCTAGGCGGGTGGTTGAGTATAGAAGGACTACATCTCTACTGCCAATTGTCCATGAGGATCATCGGACTGGAACAGTGAACTAATGTTGAAATGGTTCCTTAGAGGCAGATGGAGGAATTGGTGACTTTTCCCAATCAAAGCCATTTCTGGGAAGTGTGCATTAATGTTTGTTAGTTTAGTTTAGTTTATTAAAACAAATCCACTGTGGCTCCTTCTATGAGGTCATTGTATCATGCCTAGTATTAGGGATAGTGACGTAGCAGTATCCATATCTATCTTCAATTCGTTCCCATCCCTCATTTTAACAACTGAGGCTCCTAATCCTTATACTCCACTTTTACTTGTAATACAGTGGTTCTGAAGATTCTACCCCTCCTTCTGTGTGACTTAGGGCAAATCACTTCCCAGGACTTCAACTTCCTCCTATTTAAGAAGGATTCAGATTAAATATTCTCTGGTATCCTTCCCTCTTTAAACGTATAATTAGGATACTTTTACTCCCAGGGGCCTTTTCCAAATTTTACTACCATTGGTTCTTGTTCTTAACTAGATATTAAAATAGTTATTTTGTTGAATTCACTCCACCAAGACAAATAAGGGGATGAAAGGTCAATCCCCCCCCCACTTTGATATTTAGATATTGAGGAAAGACATTGAATGCAACAGTGAGTAGAGTGCAGGGCCTGGATTCAGGAATACTGAACCATGTTTGCCTTAGTTCCACATGTGTAAAATGAGCTAGAGAAGGAAATGGCAAACCACTCCAGTATCTTTGAAAGAGAAACTCCAATTAGATAATGAAGAGTTGGTTCTGATTAAAATGATGGAACAACAGCAAATGGTTACAAAGGACTTCAACTCTCGATTCTCATAGCACTCCTTTATGGTAAGTCATATTATTATCCTTCTTATGCAGATGGGTAAACTGAGGCTGACAGAATTTGAGTAATTTGCCCTAAGTCGCACAATTAGTAGGTATCTGAGTCAGAATTTGAACTCATCTTCTTGAATCTGTGTCCAGCTATTTATGCATTATTCCACTTACCTCTTTCATAAGCTTTGTGGGACTAGTCTCAAATTTTGGAGCTAATATTCTTGTTTCAGTACTAGCAAATGAAATGTGGCAGTAGTCGTATCAAGCCTACAAGAAGCACAAGAGTTCCTTAAGTCCTGGACAGCAGTTCTCTGCCTTAATCTGTTCAGGACCACAGACAGCTCTTGCTGTCTTTCTGATTCTGTCAATTATGTAGACTTTGCTTTCTGGTATTTTTCCCGTTGAAAATATTTTAGAATTTAAAACTTTCAGAGCTCACAGTTTTAAAAAAAGCAGAACCACTTCTTGAAAAGAATAAAGCCAAAGAGGTCTTATCTTGGACTTTTCATTCCTATACAAAGCTATTCTTAATTTTCTCCACCTTCCACCTTCCCCCAAACTTTCCCTCCTTGCTGCAGTTCTCCCTCTGGCTTCCATTCTACATTATATTATTAACAGTAACAAGGAAATGCTTTGGCTGAAGCTGATAACACTCTACAATTCAACTCCCATGGTACAACTACCTTGGCATGCCAGGACAGGAAAATGTACCCAAGCTGTCAGCAAATCAGGCTCTACCAGAGCTGCTAGAGCATCCGTACAGGTGTCACAGTCCAAGGATGAAAGCCCCATGGACAGGCTGTGCTTGATAAAAGCAACTGATCTTACTGTATCCTGCTGGTAGCCCATGAACATTGTCCAATGGTTACAGGCTTCCCATTTCTAAGGCTCTTCCTACTGCTCATTGCCATTCTTACCAAAATATGTGATTATTGAATCAGTAACATTTGCACTCATAGCTTAGCCCAGCAAATATTTTTGAGTGTTGTTGTGTGTGTGTGCGTGTTTCGTGTGTGTGTGTGTGTGTGTTTCGTGTGTGTGTGTGTGTGTGTGTGTGTGTGTGTGTGTGTGTGTGTGTGTTTCTTATTGGGGGAATTTCTAGCCTAGAGGAAAATCTCTTTTTAGAAAGCACTGGGTCCAAGTTTTCTAAAGGATGGACTGCAGTCATTGTGTTGTGCTAGAAGCTGAATTTTTAATTCCTCTGTATGAAATGAAACAGGATTGGGGCCAGGTGATGTTGACTATTAATATCACAGAAGCAAAAACCAATTTTCAGATGTGGACTGTACTCATAAAAAAAGTGAAATATCTATGTTAGAAACATTTAAACATTTCCCATTGGGCATAAACTATAACTTTTAATAGTGTTTTAAAATGAACAACTTGGCATTACCCATGTGATATTTTCATTTTGGGGTTGAACTCAAAAAATTGCAGGTACCAGAAATCTAAAAGATCTATTCATTCCATTCAAAAGCAGTTTAGCCAGTATGCTTCTGTTTAACCAATTCAATTAATTTATTTATGCATATTATTTCACATCTCATATTCTATTGCCCCATTCAACCTTCCTACTCAAAAAGCTTTGTAACCTTGGAGTTATCCCCATCTCTATACTTTTTCATTCCCACTATCCAATTAATGGAAGAAGCTTTTCAGTATTAATTCTGTACCATCTCATGTATTTGTCTCCTTCTTGCTGCTTACATAGCCATTATCCTGTGTCTGAAGTATTACACTAATTTCATAATTGTTCTCCTTGATTTCAGTTTCTCTCTTTACCAATAATAGCTAGCATTTACATAGCATTTTGCAGTTATATAGTATTTTTTTTCGTTTAGGCAATGGGGTTAAGTGACTTGCCCAGGGTCACACAGCTAGTAAGTGTTATGTGTCTGAGGCCAGATTTCAGCTCAGGTCATCCTGAATCCAGGGTTGGTGCTCTATCCACTGCACCACCTAGCTGCCCCAATATAGCAATTTTTCAGTTGTCAAAATATTAACACATATGATCATATTTTATTCTAACAACAACATGAGGAAGCAGGTACTATTATTATCTCCATTTTACAAATGGACAAACTGAAGCAGACAGAAGTTTAATGACTTTCCAAGAGCCACACCACTATTAACTTACTGAGGCTAGATTTGAACTCAGGTCTTCAGGATAGAGAGACATATGAGCAGTGAGATAGATAGGTAGATGATAGATAGATAGGTAGATGACAGATAGATAGATAGATAGATAGATAGATAGATAGATAGATAGATAGATAGAATAGCTAACTTATTAAGCACTTAGTATGTGCCAGGCACTGTGCTAAGCACTAGGAAGAGTACAAGCAAAATAGAGACTCTTTATTCACAAGACCCTCCATTCTCATAGGGAAAATCTCTGTCACATAAAGGGATAAGCAAAAAAGAATAAAGCTACTTGAGTGAGGATAAGCCTCCTAGGGAGGACGTAGGCAAATCCAGGGAGTCAGGAAAGGAGCTGAGAGTGAAGCAAATATAGATAGCTTGGGCACATCACGGAATAGTAATCCACCATAAAATGAATGGTGGACCAACATAGAGTGAATGAAGGGGAAAATTATGAATTGAGGCTGAGCAGGAAGGTCATATCATAGAGAGCCTAAAATGCCAGGTTGAAAATTTTGACCACATTCTGGTCTTTGATTGAAAATCATGCATTTTCCTCAAATGAAAACCTTTTAACAAGGGTGTGTATTGATGGCCTGCTGTGTAGTTGAAGAATATTGCTTTGTGTTGCTAATTCTCTAGTTTCTCTCTCTCTCTCTCTCTCTCTTCTCTCTCTCTCTCTCTCTCTCTCTCTCTCTCTCTCTCTCTCTCTCTCTCTCTCTCTCTCTTTCTCCCTGATGCACTCTGGCTGTGGTCATGGGAGTCATTCAAGCCTGATCAAATTCACTCCATGCCAGCTAACTACTCTTCATTGATAACCACATTCAGAGTGCACAAAGTCCAAGCCTTGCCATTCAAAAGCTGGAGAAAACAGATGGAACTTTATCCTTAATTGTTGACTTGGAGCCTGTTGTGTTTGTAATAGATGGAGTGAAACTGGGCAAAAAAGAGTCTGGGAGCTCAGGAGAGGGCTCAATAGATTGGTTAATAGGGAGTTGTAATGAAGATGAAACTTAATAATGCATCTGTATCCTATCTACAGAAAATCACATTCTGGAGGATGTGAATAAATGTGTGATTGCACTCCAAGAAGGAGATGTAGATACTTTGGACCGGACAGCAGGTGCCATCCGTGGCCGGGCAGCCCGAGTCATCCACATAATCAATGCGGAGATGGAGAACTATGAAGCTGGAGTTTATACTGAAAAGGTGCTGGAAGCTACAAAATTGTTGTCTGAGACAGGTAAGAATGGATACAGGATTGATTCCTCCTCTTCACTGATGATAGGGTTATGTCTGGTGCCTCCATAAGAAGCATTGGCAGGAGCCTGACATTTTACATTGCTCAGGTGTGGAAGATGAATTGGAGCATGAGCATTTTTAATTTTACAGCTTTCTGTTTTGGGGCTTATGGGTAATTCCATGTGATGCTGCCTGGTTTCCTCCTTTACATGCTTAGGAGAGACAACATGGAATTATGGACTGAGAGCTGCTTTTGAAGCTAGGGAGCCATGAGTTTAAGCTCTCTCTCTCTCTGACACATACTGACCGTGTAACCTTGAGAAAGACTCCTACCTTCTTGTAGGTCTAGGTAAATTGCTAAGATTATAAATTAAAACATTGATAGAAGATATCGCTTCACCCAGAAGTTCCCTATACCTGTGAAATCATAGGTCCAGTCCCCATTTCTTAATGTGTTAGATCTCTGGGTTTGGTGTTGTGATGAAAGATCTGGGTTTAAACCCCATTTTAGATATTCACCAGCTTGGTGACCCTGGACAAAGCAATTAATCTTTCTGAGCTTAGTAAGATGAATATAGTAATGATGCTGTTTGTTTCATACCTCACAAAATTATTATGACACTCAAATGAGGTTATCTGTTTAAAGTTCCATGCAGAAATACTAGCAGTTAATCCAAAAAAAAAAATATTAATAAGGGTGAGGGAGAGGGGGAATGTATGTTTAATGTTCTGATAATGTATGATTAACTTAGGAAAGACCAAAGCATTTATTAAGTTCCTACTATGTGCCTGTCACTGTCCTAAGAGCTTTAATTCACTAAAATTCAATAAATATTTATTAAGCACCAACTATGCGCCAGGGCAACTAAGTGGCACAGTGGATAGAGAGCTAGACCTGGAGTTGTGAAGACTCATCTTGCTGATTTCAGCTCTGGCCTTAGACACTTACTAGCTAGCTTTCTGACCTGAGGTAAGTCACTACCCTATGCCTCAGTTTCCTTTTCTGTCAAATGAGTTGGAGAAGGAAATAGAAAACTATTCCAGTATCTTTGTCAAGCAAATCCCAAATGGGGTTATGGAGAGTCAGACAAGAATGAAAAATTGCTGAATAAGAATATAACAGGAAGCTCTTTACAAATATTATATCACTTTATTCTCAGAGCAACCTTAGAAAGTAGGTGCTACTCTTGATCATCAGCTGAGTTGAGGAAACTCAAGGCACCAAAGTGACTTTTGCTGAGTCACACAACTAGTAAGCATCTGAGGCTAAGGTTGAAATGCATATCTTCTTGTCTCAAACACTCTATGCTCTAATGGACTACTGGATTGATATAGAGTGGACAGGGAAGAAAAATGCCACAGAGTCTACTTATAGAATGGTCATTATCCACGGTTACTTCCCTCCTCGTGGTTTTTGTATTTTCATTGACTTTTGGTAAATGATGAGTATTAGTTAAGTATTTGGCATTGGGATGGTGTGATGGAATTGTTTTCCCTCCTACATTGTTGTGAAGTCCTATTTTATTATTTATTTATTAATTGAAAAGGCCTAAGGCTTATGAAGTCAACTAAGGGCGAATAGAGATTTATGAAGTTTGAAGCCAGCAATTCTGAGGAGATTGGAGTCCACTAGAGGCCAGGAGGGGAATGGAGGTAGTGGTAGGGAGAGGCAAACTGCCACTCCTCCAATCACAGTCTCAGGTACTATGTGTGGTATGAGGCTTGGCTGGGTGTGTTTTCCCTTTATCTATTTTTGAGTGTTTTGTTATAGAGGATTCTGAAAGAGAGACAGGGAAAATAAAACAGGTTTGGAAGGAAAAAATAAAAATGAAAACGTCACCTACTTCACACTTCTGCTACACGCTGACTCAGCTCGGAGAAGGCTTTGTTCCATTTGGTCCCAATCCCCTCCTAACATCATTAATCTCATCAACATACATGATAATGGAGGCACGACTCCAAAGCATTTTATCTGAAAAGCGTTTGGGAGTTTTAGTGGCCTGTAAGCTCCAAAGCTATTAACGATGTATCTTAGTAGCCAACAAAAAGCAGATGTAATATTGGCCTGATGAAGTGAAGCATAGTTTCTGTAAACTGTGATGCAGTGGAATCAGTCACAGGACATGTGGTTCGGTGGAGTTTTGGCCATGGAATTAGAGGACATGTGTTCAAATAGTGTCATAGATATTTACTATCACATAACATTGTATAGAGTCCTTCTGTAACTAGTTACTGTGTGACTCCAAACACATCCCTTAACATTTTGGGCCTCAGTTGCTGTAGCTATAAAGTCATGGTGTTAGACTAGGTGGTCTCTAACATCTCTTTTTATTAAAAAATATATGACCCCATATTCCTTTGACTAAAGAAGTACTAGTACCATAATATTCTGCCCTGAGTAAATCATTTTTGAAATTTTGTATTGAGTGCTGTGGGTCATATTTCAGGAAGGGCATTGATAAGCAATGCACAATTCAGCTGGATTCACACAATTCACTTGTGAATTTAAGCCACATGAGGACTTACTGAAGGTAGTGAGAATTTTTAGCCTAGAAAAGAGAATATTCAGAGGAGCAACCTCACAGCTGTTATCAAATGTGGAAGAGGAATTAGCCTTGTTTTCCTAGAATCCAAAGGGCAAAGCTAGAAACAATGCTTGGAATTTTCAGAGTCATATTTAAAGAATAACAACAACAACAATAACAACAACCACAAAATCTTCCTGAAAGTGCTTTCTGTAAATGAATTGAGCCATGTTGCTAGGCAATGACTTTTGTTCTCACTGGATTGCTTCAAGTGAAGCCTTATTCTTCAAGTGATTCTTCTTCATCTGGTTTTTGATGGAGTAGATATCCATTGAGTCCCCATCCAAACCATAAAGGCTGTGATTCTTTGTAGTTATGTATGTCCTATCAGTTTTGTAATCAAGAGGAAATCTCATTTAACCCCTTCATTTTACAGATGATCAGAAAATCATGTGTCATAGGTGTTTTAAGTTTTCAGAAGTCAGTTTTTTAAACTCCAGATCTCGTGGTCCATTCCACCATATTACCAACATTGATCTTTCTATGTTGAATGGGAAATTGATTAAAACACTGAAATTTTCCACAATAACTTCTGGCAATGCCTTAACCAACATATGTACCTTCTCTGGTTGGTACATTGCAAATTCTGCTCAATTTCCTTTAGAGTTATACCAAAAGAGCTATTGGTACTGACTGTCAGGACTGATATTGTTTTTGTGGTTATTATTATCATTATTAATCTTGATATGAAAACAGTAAAATATATTTATCCTCCAAAGGTGGAGGACATTTAAGCTGACTCAGTTATCTATGAAGGGACCTAAAGAAATCTCTTCGTCTGGATATAGCATAGTAAAGCAAAAGATGGCAAGAAACACTGGACATCCCCTCTGAAAAATAAACGAGATTGAAACAATGTGAAATGAGATAATAAGGAATATCTCCAGAGGTTAGTTTCCTCCTCAAGAGACTGAAGTGACTTGAAGTTAGATACAACAATAATGAAATGAGCTCACATTTTAATTAGCAGAAATCTAGCTCTGCCACCCTAGAGGCCCGATAGCGCAGCTATGCAAAGCTGACCGCATGACACTTCTTTTCCTTCCATGCTGGGATGGCCTAAGAGATTTTTGCAGACTATGACCATTTTATTTAAGTAGATTCTGTGAGAATTGTCCACTGCTTTGCCCCTCTTAGACTCTCAGCAAATCCAGGGAAACTTTGAGCTTGAATGAGGTACCTCTCATAACTGGATTTCTTTGCTGCATTTTGCCTCCCAAGAAAAATAGACAAATGCTGGGAAAAAAAAGACCCAAAAAAAATTTTGGCTAAAGTGTAAACAGCTTCCAGATTTCATGCTCAGGTCAAGTGACATTCAGTCTAATAATGTGAAGTTTCAGTGAGAGTTAGTTTCGACAGAAGAAAGAATCAATCAATTTATCTATCAAGAAATATTTACCAAGCACCAACTTCTTATGTGTTAGGCACTGTCCTAGGTGCTGGGGATAAAAGTAAGAAGAACGAAACAATATTCACTCACAATGAAACTACAATCTAGTAGGGGAGACAAGAATTACATCTAATACATTTAATCTCTCTCCCTCTCTGTATGTCTTACTAGATATATAAATAGTTTTAGATTGATATAGAAATATTGTGTTAAATATATGTGTGTAAATACATACATGTACATTTAGTCCAAAAAAAAAAAACCAAAGGAAAAGAAATCCTCAGGAGAGTTCAGAATCAAAGTATACATAAGTAGGTAGACTGTTGACATCAGAAAAGTATGGTGACATCAGAGTCATCCAATTATGGGAACTTGGTGTTTTTGTTTTTGTTTTTTTACTGAGGCAACTGGGGTTAAGTGAATTGCCCAGGGTCACACTGCTAGGAAGTATTATGTATCTGAGGCTGGATTTGAACTCAGGTCTTCCTGACCCTAGGGCTGGTGCTCTATACACTGTACCACCTAGCTGCCCCTGGAACTGGTGTTTAAAGTCAGGGTTTTGCCTCAATAGAGGTTTGATGAGAACAAATGGAAAGCTTAGACCTAGAGGAATTCAACTATTTAAAATCATATCAAGTCAGAAATTTAGGGACTGAAGGATAAGACTGGCTCACTATTACTGGGAATCAGATGGTAAGGTAGGGCATTTTTTCACAAGTGCAAGGCAAGGTTGCTCATACTAGGTAGGACTTGAGTGCCTTTCAACAAGAGCTACCCAAACAATGATAATGTGAGTCTTTAACTGTTCCCTTTTACTGTGTTCACAGATAGGACATGCATCCTGGGATGGGAAAAAACATAAAAGTGAAGAGGTTAAGTGATTGCAGCTAGAGGGATTTGGTTGTAGGGGGAGTTAGGTTGGAAGATTAGATTAGAGGTAATACTGCAGTGTGTGGAAGGCTTTACTGGATAAGTACTAAGGCCCCTTCCAAATGTGTGAGCCTTTGTATTTTTTATACCTTTTCC